GAGTTACTACAGACGTATAGATGCTTGAAAATCCCAGAGTCAGTCAGTGTGCACATTATCTTCATCTTGCACTGCCTTTATCCATTTTCAGACATATCCATTTTCAGGCACAGTTTTCATCTGACCTAAGCAGACAACTCCAGAAGGAATTCCTGCTACTACTTGTCAGAAAATAGCCATCTCTGAACTCCTTTGCTGACACCTCATTTACGAAGAGAGTTTGTTTAGAGTCCGTGTGCACACCACCACCATCAATGTCACACCTGTCTGTGTAGCAACACAACACATACTGTGCGAGCAACGCTTCTCTGTTAGGACACACGACCACCATCTTCCCTGGCACAGATTCACCTCATTTCGGCAGGGAGTTCGTTTGCACGCCACCAACATCAATGCCACGCCTGTATGTGCAGCAATACAACACATACTGTACCAGCAAAGTGATTTCACTGTTAGGACAAGACCACCATCTTTCTTCCCTGGCACGGATTCACTTACCCAAACACACAACAGCGAAATGTCCGCCCATCTTCCCCCGAAGAGAACTTACAGTCATTCCCAGCTGTATTCAGGGCAGCATTCAGTCTATATATACAGCAACAATAACCGTACGCTCTTCTCGGCGGAAGGCGGTGGAAACATACCTGGGAGTTTCTGAGATGCAGCCATGTCGGTAACCGCCAGGCCGGGCCGAAGAATTCGAAAGGTTGACCTGGGCCCTCTCCCACACAGTGTGAAGATCTGTGGTGTCTCCTCGTCAAATAGATTGGTCACCTGTGCGCCAACGCAGTTCACATGACAGTATCAGCAGTCAGGCAAACTATTTGCAGCCTTGCAGGTAGAATAGAAGTGATACGTTCACTAATGGGCCTAGCTCAGTTGGTACACCCAACGGAACTGCTGAACTACGGACCGCAAGTTCGAATCCAGATACAATCAGATGACCAGAACAAGACCATTCAGAATTACCCAGGGCCGCATTCAATAGGATGATCTCAAGGTCGTCGCCCTTTTAACAAAAAAAAGAAAAAAAAGTGACTTAATATTGTGTTCCACTTCATCCACGGATTTCCTATCGGGAAAGCAAAACAATCACAAAGAAGTAAGACAGCATGGCAGGTTTTTATCATGCCCAGCCCTCCTCCTCCTCTTTTCCCGGTCATGGAGGGAACTCTCCACACGTCCACACCTACAGCAGACCTGGCTACTTTCACAGTGAAATCGCTCCAGAGACGTCAGAACAGCACAGACTTAGACACCTGATTGCATACGAAGGAAAGAGGGTCAGAGATGTCAGAGCAGTGCAGAGTGAGACACCTGCTTTCATAAGAAGGAAACAGGGCTGATAACAACACCATGCACAGAAACCGCAAAGGAACAATGGATTCTCCAGACCACGTGCTGAATGCACGAGAACCAAGATCAAAAGTCGCGCATGTTGCAGGTTACAAGGATCACCCTCTGGACATCCACCCCACATGACCATGCAGAGGACCGGATGCCAAGGCGCACAAAACTCAGACAATCCTTTTGAATTGCTTTAGGACCCCCCTAGCAAAGGCTAAGGGTTACCAGACCAACATGAACACCGCAGGCCCCCCCGTCAAGCGGATCCACTTCACAGCAGGCCCCCGTCAAGTGGATCCACTTCCTGACACACCTTGACTGGCCAGAGGGCCAGGCACCCCAGATGCCTGGATGCACAAAATACATACTTGCGACAAACAATTTTGTGTCTTATAATACTTTGTGCCAGTGTTTCATCATCTCCCTGGAAGAAACACTTGTGCTTTGCTTTGCCATTTGGGCTGTGAATGCAGTGGAGCAGGGCGCTTAGTGGGAGAGGGGAGAGGGTGGTAGTCTGAAACTCTCCTTTATAAATAAATAAATAAAGAAAGACATCCTCAGATGCCTCAGACGCACAACGCCGGACGGTACTTAATAGCACCGGTGGCAACTGAGGTCCAATGGAATAATGCCCGGGGGAAAGGCGCAGACGCACAACGCCATCCTCAGAGGAGAATGATTTTTTTCACAGCTGAGAAATGGTGTATGCCAACAGCCTCACGGGAGCGATTGCGGTACTACCCATGCCATTCCACCGGTGAGTGCTAGCAAGTGCCGTTCTAAAAGTGAAAAATGGCATCCAAAGGATGACAGTTTCACAAGTGCGGAAACTAGGAGAAAGCAGGCTTGCTGTAGAGGAACTCACCTTCATGTCCATTATTGGCATCAAAGATTCAACCTCCTCATATTTAATCAGATTTTTCAGCCTTCGCGGCTGGAAGAAAACGGGCTGGAACCCCTCTTCGGTCTCCATCAATGTTGCCGATGAAGATTCTACATCAGGCTCATCTCCAATTCCCTGCATGTAATTAAAAAAAAGACACACACAGCAGACCATCGTTTCCACACGCGTTCAAATACACACCGATGCAACAATTTAACAATCAAAGAAGGAGATGGTCAGAAGTTAAAGGGCAGTTGCAGCGAATGGGGCGCATCATCATTCACCGACAGCTATTGGAAAACATTCATTGCTTGTTGTGCACTCTAACACTCTCCAGTCGCCATCAAGGACATGGGGGTTCGGAGGCGGGACGATGGACAGGTGAGATGAAACTGCAGACAGAGGGAGTCATTTTGTGCCACAAGCCTACAAGGTCAACTAACTGGAACTTCAACCGTCAGAAGCAGGAGTTCATTCGATAAGGCATTTACAGCACATGGAGAAAGGCGGAAGGGGTGAACAAAGAAAACTGGGTTATGAAGAAGGGCATTTAAAAGAGAGCGTACTCTACAACAAGGACAGAAAGAAAAAACTAGGTGCTCGAGCGAGCTATAGCTCAGTTGGTTGAGCGCGTAAGTGGCACTCAGGAGGTCGTGGCTTCGATACCCAACATCGTCCTTTCGATCCCCACGACTTCCTGGGAGATGCTTCGTATTCACCAGCAGAGATTGTTGGCTTGGGCCTCCTGGCTGGTTCTGTACCAACCCATGCCATGTGTTAGGCGGGAGCTTGGGTACTGCTCCCCGCACAAAGCAGAGATAGGTAGAGGTAGACCCGTAACCTTCAGATAGCTTAGTTCTGGTAATAAGTAAATTTAAGGTAGTCTTAGACCCTAGCCCTAGATCCTAGCTTCAATCTCGTACAGAACCAGCGGAATAGCTTGCTTCCCGTTGCTGGATTAAGGCAGGGATTCTGGTCGTACTACTAGAAAAGGGTAGGTAAGTAGTTAAGGATGAGGTAGTTACAAGATTTGAGAGAAGGGAAAATGGGCTAGCAAATACAGCTTGTCCCCCATATGAGGAGAAGACAGCTGTGTTTTATTTTATTTTTTATTTTCATTTATTTATTTTTTTTGGGGGGGGGGGGGGGGGGGGGGGGGGGGGACAAATAAAAATAAAAGTAAGTTTAATAAACTTGAAAAAGGTAAAAAAAGAAAGAAAGAAAAAAACTGGGTTATGCTTATTGAGGAAGATGTGGGGGTGGAGAAACAAACGAACCTGGAACTGGTACAGTGCATGGTTCCCAAACTCAGAGGCTGCAAACAGGAAACCAGTCTTGAGCACACACATCGCTGAACAGACTGGAAGCGTATCAAAGTACTTGATCTTCAGTTCTGTTACGGTGTCATCTTTGTCATAGTCCAAAGTGACCTGTGAAGCCATCAATTAAATACATTCAAGACACAAGAAAGCAACTAGTAAGAAAAAACATGCAACGACACTTGCCCCATTACAACAAAAGGGCTGCTGAGCGTTTGCAGTCGTGCCTTTTTTTTTTTTTTCTGTGGTCATGCATTGAGATAAAATAGACTGGAACAACAAAGATGTAGTAATGTTCATATGTGGTGAAGCAATGGCCCTCCTCGGAGCCAGCATCTGCAGCAATTTGCAACCTCAGAAACAGTCAAAGCTTGCTCGCACAGCCAAGCTTCCCTTCACAAGCCCATCCAGCTTGTTACATCAGCTCAATAATTGCAATCACCAACAACATATCCAAGCCTCTCCCCAAACTCGCCATACCAGACGGTTCGTTATCACAGGCCAGCGAGAGGGCAGGAGGGGATCACCAAGGAGAACTCATCCACGATGTAATTACGACGGCTAATGGATTCAAGCCTCCCCAACTCACTACATCAGACGATTCCCTCTGGCCAGTAAGAAGAAGGGCGGGAGGGTATCGCCAGGGGAAACTCGTCAATCATCGCACTTTTCCACAGGAGCTTCAGAACAATTAAACCGCTACAACCTGAAAGGTACACACAAAAATATTGTTTTTAATTTTTTTTTCAATTAAAAAGAAATTTGATTTTTTTTTCCAATAAAAAAAAGGCGCACTAAGTCCATGCTGAAGATATGAGAATGCTGTACAAGGATGCAGTTGCACAAAACCCTGTTTTTTTTGGCTTGACAGTCACCGCCTCAGTGACCACTGAATATGCTGATCCCAAACCTGGAGGCCTTGGAGAGGAGACCAAATGGGACCCGATGGACTCAATACACTCAATGGACTTACCAGACTCAATGTGCTCCATACGCTGACCAGACTCAATGTGGTGATCCGAATTGCCAGAAACCCGCTGCACTTAAACCACCAGTACATCCGAGGCAAACCCCGTGTGCGCACCAAGCTTTGCTGAAACACCAGTGCGGCATTTTTGTTTTCGTCTTGGCTGGCGCCGCCAGGCTCCAGCCATTTTGGTCGCTTGCCCCGGGCCTCCAAACTTTTCAGATGGATCAATCACGACTCTCAAGTTCGCTGGGGCCATGTACTGGTGGTTTAATGGGGTTGCCAGACTCATCAGGCCACCACCATAGTCATTGGACTAGCCTTTTTCTCCGTCCTCGGGACAAATAAGGGGTGGGACAGGAATATTCGCGCGTTGTCCATCGACTGCGCCTTTCGGCCTAATCTTAGGCCCTGACTCACCCTCCGTGGACGAACCTTTCGGAGGAACCCTTAGGTTTCCGGGGCATTGGATTCTCACCAATGTTTGCATTACTCAAGCAGAAGTTATGAGAGCATCAACCGCCTCCATCTTTTTTTTTGGTTGCCAGCCTGCAAGCCTGGGCTGATATCTCCACCAAAGCTGGCTGGGGATCATTTCCAAGTTGCGCCCCCGCCGAGCCTGCACCGGGCCTGTTTTCCGCTGGTATCCCAACCGAAGCTGGCTGGAGATCGTTTCCAAGTTGCACCCCGGCCGAGCGTGCACTGGGCCTGTGTTTCCGCGCCTGGTTGGACCCTGTCGGCTGCCTACTGGGAATTTTCTTTGTCGTGTAGCAAGGGCGGTGGTTCAAGACCTGCCTATCTGGAGGGGACATGAATCAGTGGTGTCCACGCAAGATTTCTGGGAAAGCCAACTGAATCTCTTTGGAAGATATCACCATACTCTCTGTAAATTTCTGTAAAAGGACAGACTGCATCATCATACTCTGCCTCCAAAAGAAAGACGAATGAAAGATATCACCCTACCTTGAAGATATCACCGTACTCCGTCTGCAAAAGGAAGAAGAAAAGACCCTTCTGTTTGTGCATCGCTGCACAAACCACGAGAACTCCCCTCTCGGCCGGCAAGTCTGCACGACGTGGGATAACAGCGCGTACATCTGCATGCCCCTGAAATGAATTTAGAACACCACATGCACGTGAAATGAATTTAGAACACCACATGCACGTAAACATGCATGCATTAGGAACACAATTCTTCCACAACATTATCGATAATCCACATGGAATGTCAGTTACCAGAGTTCGGACCTGGGTGCGCATCACAACCAGACTTTAATATGTGGTGACATTGTTGTCGTCAAATGCAACAGCGATATGCACTGTCGAATTCCGTTGTTCAGACGATCGCATCGCGCAAACAAAAAGCTGGATTGAACAAACTCTCTCATATTCTCCTCTTCCACAGAAAGGTAGGAAACACCCTGGGTACGAATGATCCTTGCTCAACCGCATAATCTTACAAGCAACACCCCTAGCAAAACCGCGGGAGAAGAGGGAGAAAAAAGACAGCGGGGGGGGAGGGGGGAGGAAAGGAAAAAAGAAGAGGAAAAATCAAGGTAGAAAATAAAAAAGGGACACACGGCGATGTTAGCCTATTACGCAAAAGACTTATCGGTGCAAAAGGAACCAGACTAAAGCTCACAAGAATAGGAGGAGCACGGCCCAAGAGGGCCTGTCTTTTCCAACAAAAAAAAAAGAGGGACACAGTGAGAACACCCACTGCACAATCCAGGGAATGTGGTACCAGAAGAAATGGGCAGTCCAACCCTAACAGCTGTGTAAAGCGACTCTATATGTGTCTTTAAAACACCTGCAGGTAAGCCTGCTTGCTTGGGAGAGGGACACAAGCAGAAAGAAAGAAACAAGCATACCCAATCACACATTCATTCACTGCAAGTCAATAAATATACCAGAGAAGTATTAAGGTCCCGATAACATGGTTTCTCAGAATGCAGCATGAAGCAAAGACTCTATCCCAAAGAAGAAAAAGAAAAACAACAGCTTCCCATGAGCTTGTATTCAGCGCGAAAAGGGGATCTTGACTAGAAATTACCTGATTCTTGTATATGACAAAGTTCTCAGCACAGACAAGCACCCCGCTGGGACCATCTCCTCCTCCAGGAACAGTGACAAGCATGTTTGCTCCATTGTCCACAGGCTCCGTCCACTGCAACCAGTGTTATGTCAGCAAACACTTCATGCACACTGCACGCAACTTCGTCTAAGTTCATCACTCTAAAGTCCAGCCTACACTCCATGCAACAAGCTCAGCACCCATTATTACACATTTCATTCAGCTGCGGTAGCATAAGAGTGTGTATGAATCTTCGACAGATCGGCTCATCTTATCACAAAAGTCCATTGTTCCTTGTATCCCTCTGACATTCGCAGAATAAATTGACCCATAGGCCCAAACCTCGCAGTGACACAGAAGAATGAAGCTAAAGAAACATAAGGAGATTGCCTAAACATCCCTGGGGCATCGCCTGGGGGCAATGGGTTCTGGTTCACCACACAGAAATGGCCTGATGATTCTTTCCATTTTTTTCAAACCAGTATGGAGATTGGGTTGCTGAAACATGTAACCTTGACTCACAAGCCATTGGCCAAGTCAGAAATGGCATAGGGACGGAGGCATCTGCTCAGAGCATGGAAGGAGAGGAGCAAAAGAGCCTGATGGGTGTTTCTTCAATTGGCATCTGAAAACAACTTTTACTTCCTTTCGGACAGACCACGACGCTGTCATTAAACTTATGGAGAACTTCCCAAGCGCCCAGTTCTGGTGATCTATCGAAGTACACTGAGCATCCGGGCAATTGACATCATCACTGGTTCAATTGACAATCTGCTGATCGCCTGTAACGGCATGGAGAACTCTACAGGCACGAAGTGCACCAAGACATGCTGGATGCAAAATGTTGATGTTCGCCATTGATCCGCAACCAACGCCGCTCTCAACAAACAAAAGATCGTTGGAAGCAAGTGGAGTGTCAAAAGAAAAGGGGAAAAAAAACAGCGTAACGAGCGAGAGACACTAACTCTGACATGCTGCCAAAGAGATTGAAGCAACAAAAGTGCATGAAGTAAAGAACGAAGGAGCTCGGCAGGATTGGCAGACATGAAATGACCACCGTCTCCGTTCAAACATACACACCCTGATCATGAACATATACACAAATTCTGTGTCAGCTCGATAGGGTCAAGATTAGCGCGCACTGTGTTCAAGGGAGGACAGTAGCGACAAGGCACTGGCAGACTTCACCTTGCGAACAACGTGATTGAGACCAAGATCCAGCTCATAGAACGTTAGATGCTTCTGGGCTTCCGCAGCCGCTTGGCCAGAAGAATCCTGTCACAAACCAGAAACACATCGCAATTGCTCAATCATGCTTCATGTCTCCAAAAAAGTTGCAAAGACTTCCACATGGATTCAAGGGACCAACCCAATGTCAAAAGATGTTGAGACTCTCTCTCTCTCTCTCTCTCTCTCTCTCTCTCTCTCTCTCTCTCTCTCTCTCTCTCTCTGTGTGTGTGTGTGTGTGTGTGTGTGTGTGTGTGTGTGTCTGTCTCTGTCTCTGTATCTCCGCCTCACCCCACCCCCCCAAAAAATGCTCCTCCATGCTACTCTGGCCTCAACAAGTGACAGAATAGGATGCAAGGCATTTCTACACCGTCCTGATTCTCCCTCCCTCATGGAGGCTGCCACAGTGATTTCTGTTATTCGACTAAGGTTTCATCCACAGCAGGACTCTAAGTCGATCAACCTGCAATGGACTCCCTCGAAGCAAACTCACTAGATGCAGGACTATAATTATCCCTCCTTAAAGGAGATGTCACAGTGCATTTCCCTTGCAATTTTCTGGCTTGATTTGTTGACTAGGTGTGTCCATTCACACCAGGACTCCCTTGAATCTGCCATCCTGCTTTGCCCATGACAATCAGATTGCTAGGGATCCAAACATACCTGATCAGCCTCAGAGTAATCAAGTTCGATTGCTGCAAAAATTGGATTGTCAAATCCACAGTCAACTCCAGTAATAGAATACACAATCGTATGAGACTTGTGTGCCTGTATGGTATGACAAACCATCAACAACAACAACAACAACAGTCAGAAGAAAATGTATATAAGATCCTCAGAATTTGCTTGCCACACAAATGAGCAGCTATCCATAAGATGAAGTTCCGTACTCCACAGTCTGCATCAACAAATAGGCAGCATTCCTGCCAGCACACACATCCCCCACCAGGTTACCAAGAGAATGGCCCAGGTCCTTCGGGACATCCGTCAAAAGTGGAACGACACAGAGAAAATTAGCATGGCCCCTGCGCAGGGATGACATGCACAAGTTACGGCGGTCCAAATTCAGGGGTGGGAACATGGCACAGAAGGCATGCAGTCTGCCAAAGAACAGGATCCAGGCATCGGTTTTCAGAGCTTAAAACCACCAGCCTCTGCGAGCCACTTTTTCCCAACGAACTGGTGTGGGCGTGAAATTGCCAAGTGTCACCACCCTTATTCGTCCCGTAGGCCCGATCCGCAATTTTGCGGCGTGTTAACTGCCACGCTGGACCGAGATAGCGCAGAAATGGACTGGCGGTTTAAGCGAAAGTGGGTTTGTAAGGAGCTCGCTGCACATGCTTCTGGCTGTTCTTGTGCCCGCAGCCCAATTGTGTGCTGTTCTTGGGCCCGCAGCCCAATTGTGTGCTGTTCTTTTCGGACTTTGTGCACATTTTGACATGCTTGTTATGAACTTGGTTGTCTGACGAATTTTATCTCCACTCACACACAGACAGTCTCATACATGCCCACACATGCATAAGAGAAGGGGAGAGAGGAGACAGAGTCCCAACTGCACACAGGTGAAAATAGGCAGCGGAAGGCAATCATG